ACAAAGTCTCACAGATATTTCTTCAATGTGTATTTACAAGGAAAAGAAAACCGAGTCGCTGGCATTCGGTGCGCTTTGTCAGACTTGCCCAACTCATGAGGCATCCTTCACAAAAATTTTCCCCATAACCGAGATTGCGGAGAAGCATGGCAGTTGTCAGCTAGGTGGAGGTCCAGAAACGGCGTCATTCTGGGCTGGTGGGCGGCCTAGACATTGCTACCTCCGAATTAAATAACTCCAGCTTGGAAGCGCTGATGCAAACGCTACCCTCTGCCATGGCAAGCGATATCCTTCCTCAAGACAACGTAGGTGTTAGCTTCCTCGACTACGGCGGAGTTGCCCTACAGGAACTCATAATGGGATAGGTCGAAAAGTACCTCGATCTCTGAGGGACTTTTAAGCTTTGAAAACTTCCACAAAGTCATGATATACCCATTTGCAGAACCCCAGAGGACAGTCTCCACTAATCAGGGTGAAAAAATTTTTTTTGGTCTTTTTCTAGAACGATTCAATCAAAGTGTCGCAGATCTTTCCGTCCAACCTAACAGCACCCTGCTAACATTTTAGACCGAGTATCAATTTGTTATGCTCTATGCTTTTGAGCGTTAAATCAGACTGACTGCGTAGATTCTAGCCAAGATCACAGAACTTGACAACTGGATGTTGATGTGTGATGGATCCTATCACGAATGAACAATCAGCGCTTAGGATGATGAATAAGGACAAGGGAAACGCCGATCACTGAACATTGGGCAAACTATGAAATGTTTACCGTAAAATCGTCGTCGACCCACAAGGTCATTGCTGATGATGCGTGGATGCATCAGAACGTTCTGACTGACCTTGCAGGTTATTGCCGCTTCGTCAAATATGGGGGACCGGGACCCTTTGTCACGCAATCTGGTTGAAAATGGGAAACAAGACCATCCTGAGTGGTTGCATTTCGATTCTTTCCCTCATGTTCGTCCCCTATAAAGCATACCGTGGCAACAAGGCGTTTCCTTCAGGCAGCCGTCTCAAGTTCTCTTCAGAACCCCCTTTGGGTTACTATCTGCATTACCTCCCTCACTCTAATCTGACGTTGGGCTGTCTATGATGACAGGCGGTATGATGGCATCCCTCTCAGACAACCTTAAATCGACCTTTCCTGTACAAAATCAGTTGGCAAAAGATTCGTCTAAGGGAACTGAAGCACACGTCGTAGGTAGACCAGAAACACACTTCTTAAAAGGATGAGCTCCATTCCTACATGCACAACAATCTTCAAGAAGAAGACCCCGCTCCAAAAAAACAGAAGTTTACACTATGAGTTCTCCACTTGTTTTGCGCCTCACGAGGTTGATAGGTGGAACTATTATATCTATTATCCATTATATTATATATCTATTATATATTAATATCTATTCAATATGGCTTAACGTTTCGACTGAATCGTCGTCTTCAGAGGCCGACGGTTCCACCTTATAAGCGGCAATGTCCGCTGCCACACAAGAGCGATAGTTAGTTGTGAGTCTAAATATAGTTACAACTAACTATCGCTATAAATTTACAATAGGCCCGATAAACTCCGAAAATCTACAGAATTTACAGTAGCCATTTGCGAGTGCAGCCTTGGTTCTGACGGAGTAAGGAGCCTGTGAAGTAAAGTGCGTTCTCGAATTTTACTATTACACATCACATGGGATGAAATCTAGGGCACTCTAATTTCCACTGCCTCTGTTCCACTTCTCCCTTTTAATACTCGGAGACCATGCGCGATTCGATTTGGGCCTCACCCATCTAAATCCCAGCCGTGTCCTATGGTGTGCAAAAGAAGTTGATCTTTCGCGTCGCGACAGGGAGGGGGGGGGGGGGTGAGAGAAGAGTGAGACAAGCCTATGTACAAGTCGGTGTTCTATCCTTCCAAACAAGTCTGGTATAGACCGGTGAGGAGTGGAGCGCTTAGTTCGCGCGAGCGGAAGCTAACCCATGATCTGGCCCCAGACCATACCGGTGGTAGGTGACGGTATCTTTCGCTACAACATCTCCAGACCTCAAATGAGATGTAAAACTTTATTAGTAGCATGTATAGCTATACCCATAACAAAATATAAGCAAATACTTGCCGACAGCTCCTATGAGCAAAAGAAAATACAAATAAATATTATGCGTAGAAATCTACAATAAAATTTAAAAAGTTATTTATCACAGATTGCAGTCATTTGGATCCTTTGAAAACAACAAAGTTATAACACAATTCATCAACTAGTAGAACTAATCACGCGTGCGTTGAAAAGCTTTACTCTGGCACTTTCAAATGGGATGGTTGAATGTTGTATCGTCAGACGCCAGACATATGGCACAAAGAAGTCTACGGTATTCTCGTCTTCCACATATCTGAAATTTATAGAAGTTGAGGTGGGAGAAGTGAACAAGTGTGAATGAATCAACCAAAAAAGTCTTTTTTTTCAAAGAAGGGCATTTCATCCACTGCCATTTATCCTCGGAAATTATTAAGAATTGTCAATTAATTACTTAAAAAGAACCTTTTGAGCAGATCTTTTTACGGTACTCAAGCATTTTCATTGGAAAGTTCATTCCCTCAATGGAAATGTACTTTCCAGTGGAATGCTTCTATCCATGAAACATTCTGCACTGAATATTCTGTATCATATCACGGACAGCCCCACTTTCCCTTCAGAAAGTACGACGTAAATTAATTAATTATGAATTTGATCGGTTCAGTGGTTTCAGACCGAAAACGGCAGTGAAGGCAGTAATCAACGAATTTATTTCTGGAGCAGGGTGTGACTCAAGTAATCAGATGATTTTTGTTCCAAATCAGGATGCAGTTCCGAGAACAAATTGTACGCCCGCCTTCTCAGAAGCTACACAAGCTTACTAACACAATGAGAACGGAGGCTCTTTCTTCGCAGGATTTTGATCGTTTCACTCCGTCCTTTCGCCATTTGGCACTATTTACCCTTTACTGCCCCAGTCATCCGAAATCAGGCCAGCTCCTGACCGACTTTTTTCTCCGTGGGCAGATTTTGCTCAAATGTTGTCTCCTGGGGTAGTTTGACCTCCAGAATACGAATATCACATTCGCTCAGCCCGAAACTTCCTGGCGCCCGCGCCACAGGCGCCAATGATTTGGGGTATTTTGGCGCCGGTGCCCGTGGTGCGGGCGCCAGGAGGTTTCGGGTCAAGCGGATGCGATATTCGTGTTCAGCGGGTCGAACTACCCCTGGAGCCAAGTTTTCAGCAAATTCTGCCCACGGAGAAAAAAGTCGGTCAGGAACTGGCCTGATTTCGGATGGCTGGGGCAGTAAAGGGTAAATAGTGCCCGCCATTTCTCCACTATATAGCGCCCTACTAGCATGTTAGGTCGAGCACCAAATCATCGTGCCAACTGCCTTTAAGGGGGAATAGAAGGCATGCTTGGATGAGCTGTCCATTGTTTGTTACAAAACGAATCGGTTGTCTTCCTCTGTCGTCTCAACCTCGTCACTCGGAATGGAGAAAGTTAGTAGCGGAATAACTGTACCACCAGCGAGCCCTTACACATGAATGTTAGAAGTTGTACAGGGCGGTGCAGGTACTTCCTTCGTCGCGATCGGGTGGCATCGCTATCACGTACTTTTGAGCATCGAAAAAGGTGTACTCTGTGGTTACTAACAACCAGACGGACAGGAGTACCTTGTCCAGGGAGGGCGTCTGTGCACCGGACGAACACGCAAAGAATTTAGAGATTTTGCGAAAGCTTCAATCTCCTTGAATACAAATGAAGTGTGATAAGTAGTGCTCTGAGGACACTGACCCAAACAGCCCTATTCCGTGCACAACCCTCGTTTACAACACTTGAACCCTTATTCAGCTGCGGCACGACACAACGCGTGATCAGGTGCACCACTCCTCACTCTAATATTATTTAACACGTTGACGACGATGGCAGACAATGGTGGCTGACAGCCAGTCTGTCTCATGGGACGATGGCAGACAATGGTGTCTGCCAGTATATTTTCTAAGAATAAAGATGGAACGAACAGCCAAGTTTGTAAAGGTGTCCCTGGGGGTAGCTTGTCCCTCTGAAATGAATACACAGCTGCTTGGCACGGCGCCAAAATACCGTAAATCACCAAATTAGTTGAAAACTTGGCTCGTGGGGTAGTTTGACGCCGTGAACACGAATATCACAATCGCTTGCCACGAAACCGCCTGGCGCCCGCGCCACAGGCGCCGGCGCATCCTAGATCACCAAATTTCCTGAAAACTTGTCCCTACCGGTAGTTCGACCCCCTGAACAAGAATATCATGTCCACTTAACGCGTTGACGACGGTTTCCGTCAATGGTGGACGACAGCCAGTTTGTCTTGTGGAACGGCGTCACCCACGAAAGTATCTCCGTCCAAGTGTTGCTAAGAGGTATTTTCAAGATTTTTTCACAACCTGGACATCTTTTACGCTTTTCGAATGAAAACTTTCGGAAGTTGAATTCGTTACACAATTCGGATAGATAAACTACATTGTAGTTCATCTATCTGAAACAACTGCCGCCTTCTATTCTCGCACGAAGACCACTACAGGGTAGGTAGTCAGGGTGTGTGCACAAACGTCAAGTGTAAAGCCCAGCTAATTTTTTGTGCAGAGCCTCATTTTTGGATCGGTTGTACGTATGCGCACAGTCTTGTTTGCAGCGGATGCTGGGGCATGTTAGGGGGGCTGCGTCAGCCTATTTCCACAGAATTTTGTCGCTAGATCGCTCCGACAACTGTGGAGGACGGTGACCCGCGCCAAATCCAACCTCCTCCCCGACACTCCCAGCATCCGCAGCGAACAAGATTGAGTTTTTTAAGTCACATTTTATTTGCTTCCGTATAAATGTACTGAATCACAGAAATGAAAAACATCTACCTGAATCGTAAATCAGGAAATTTGGCCAGTCGATCTGTTGGTAAAACAAGGGCTTCTTTTTCAATAATTTCCATCATTGCATTTCCATCTCCAGCCCTTACATTCACAACCTTCGAAGAAAAATGCGAGATAACAAGGGTGATATTCGCGAGGAGATCCTTAACGTTAACGTTTTCACTAGCGACTGGATACAAACTAAATCCTGTGGGAGAAATAAGTATCAAACCTGGAACATGGGATGTTGCTGATATGAATCAAAAAGATTCCTATGGTATAACAGTGTATAGATGAGATGAGGATTGTTGCGCAAGTTCCCACAAAGAGCGCTATTGATTATCTCTAACAAAGTACGAATTCCTTCTTCTAGAGCAGTAACGTCGTCATGCTAAAACTGGCAGGTGAATCTCATGATTATGCGCCAGCTCCAAAATTGTCACCTACATAGCTGAGTGATTGTTCGTTCTTGGATTCTTGTTCAGAGCTTAATCGCATTTGCTCTACCATTTTCGCATGACGTTTGGTTAGCAACTGAAAAACAAACTTGCTGTGAATGTAAAAGTTGTGAAACTGGTAACTAGTTATACCTCCAAGAGTGCGATAATCTTCTGACACACGACCGGAGCGAGGTTTTTGAAGCATGCCGACATATTTGCAAGTGCTGCCAAACAATTTGTATGCAAATAGCGATCCTAAAGTCACACAATCAATTTAACCTGTTCAAACTTTTTCAAAGATTCAATGCGGTAAATAAAAAAAGGATGCTGGCGACAAGGTGCCACGTAGCTCGGAAGCTTTTCGGAATCCGTGTGCAACTTTTGATGAATCTTGGCATACTTTTCTTGTGCAGTAGAGTATGTGAGATTACGCAGCTGCATGCCAAGATTGTTGGACATTTAGGGCTGACGTTTCGGCGCCGTCGCCTTTTTCAGGGCCTGGAAAGCCGGAACACATCTACGAAACCCTTTGTCCAAACACTCCTTCAGTTTGCAGTTAAACAGTTGGGACACAAACTACTAAGAAGACGTCTTAGAGCTCTAAAACTGACCTTTAACGCAGCTGATCAGGAATTGCACCTATCAAGCCGAGATGGTAGTAATGCGGTACAAATAGGGTAGCCCAAGAGACCAATTGCCAAGGGACCTCCGGAGGGTAGATCACGTATATCAAATAACTGCAAAGTCATCCAGATCCACAGGGGCCGGAGCTCGCGGCTTTTAGCAGCGGGGCCGGGGGTACAGTAATCGATAGGAGACGTTCACTGCGAGTCATAAGTGCATTTACTCTTCAGCGGTCCTCGGAGTTGTTTGATCTACGCGATCAACCTTCTGGGCCACTTGAGCAAATGGTCCCTAGGGTTACCTTGAGCCGCATTACTACCAACTCGGGAGAGAGGAGGTCCTCCGCGGCCGAATGCGTTGAAGGTCAACTTTTAAAGCTCCTGTGAGGGCCCTAGTAGTTCAGTTCCCTTCTGAAGTTTTCCCGTGAGTTGAAGTAGTGTTTGGACAGAAATTTCCTGAACGTCTTTCCACTTACCAGACTCTGAACAAGCCGTGAATAAATGTGAAAGCGACGTCGCTGAAACGTCAGCTATGAATAGAAGTTTTGAACAATCTTGGTCTCCGGCTGAATAATCTAACATACCGTACGCTTTTCAGAATGTCTCACAACTTACTCGCATACGAATAGCGTTCTTATGAATTGTTCGCACGAACACCATCACACAAATTCCACCCAGAGAAATCTCTCGCAGAGGACGATCAATTTCGAGCCAATCCACATCCCGTATGGTCTGAATCAACAATAGGAATAGCGAGCCGACGTATTTGAACACAATTTAGGCAACGTACAGTTTCGTGAATTATCTTGCAGAAGAAGTCATCTTCACTGAGGATGAGCATGACTATCAAAGCAAGGTACATGTGATGCGAATTGGACGTCAACGAAGCAACTCCCTCATGAAGAATTTTGATCACCGGTAGCACCTGTAAAATAAAGACTATCGATCGGAGACAATTTTCTCGAGGTATCCGTTCAGGGCATACACGATCGCTGGGGATTCCCCAACAGTAGAGTCGTATTTGGCCGCTGGGGAGGGGGAGGGTCGTATTTGTCTAAGAAAGCTTTTTCGATAATTGATTTTTCTTGTTTTACGGACGCTGTAAGGAGAGGGGGGGGGTCGCGTTCGCCTTCTGAGAGTAATTTACAGCGTTGGGAATAATTTGTTCCGGCTGTTGCCTTTTTTGCGATTTCCTGTTTCACACGGTGCTATGCTACAACGCCCCTGACAGCAGAATTCTGGGGGGGAAGAAGGAAGTTGAGAAAATCTAAGAAAGCGGTAGGCAGAATGGGGAAGGAGGGCCGTATTTTCCTCGCGGTTTTCCCGTTTCACAAGGACACCATTCCCCTCACCCGGTTAGCAGCTCGGTCGTATCAGAGGAGGGAACCATGGGGGGGGGAGGTTGCATCGAGCCACCTCTTAGTAGGGTAAGGGGTAGTAAGAATCGACCAAAATCGCCAACTAATGATGTGCCCTGTATCCATTATACCCGCGTTCATACTTCACGACTCGCCCGACCCAATATCAATACGACTACGACACACACGTACTTTTTGGATACTGCAAAGGTCGAAAAAAAGTTCTGAGCGGTAGAGCCGGGGCCGCCATAATCGCAATAATCGAACCAAGCGACTGAGTGCTCAAGATTAATTTCCTTTGCGAAAACTTGCACATATTTGAGCACCAAAAACAGACCCTGGCGAACTTCACGGAGGTGGATGGAAATATTACCCATTAGGGAGCCCCCAACATAGTTGCAACACAGTTTGAAACAAATGATTAGTGGAAAAACTAACGAGATTCTCCAAATTTATCCTTGATAAGATGAAGTTTCTGAAACCAGAATTGCGATGCAACAGCAAGTAGAGCAACAGCATTGGTGGTTCTTGACAAGCGGTAGCACAAAGCCTCTCATACAATGCGTTGTAATCCAGTTTGAATGTGACCTTATCTGTGGCCAGACTCGAAACCTCTGCAAAACTTTTACACTGTCCTGACACAAACTCATTCAGAGAAGAACATACTAACCTTGAGAATTCTGGAATAATGACAGCGTTTCTTTGAAAGGATTACACCCCTTTGATGGATGATGACATGCAAGATTCAAAAGCAGTAATATACTCAAGTTTCCTAGGGTTACAGGGTATTCTGGCACTTCATTTGTTTCGTCCTCTGCTCCAGTAGCAGCTTGTAGGATAGACCAGACTGAAGCTGAAAATAAGTACAGTATTAACCAGGAAACATACGACCGGACATAACTGGCAAAGAAATAATACAATACAAGTAGAAATTACTCACAAGCTATTCCAAGCACGATACTCCCTCCGTCTGCTTTTTTGAGCGGATGGTACTCGCTATTGTGAATCAAATAGTTTCGAAGTAGAGTTTTCGTCAGAACAGCAGCCTGTTTGCTACTGAACACAATCAGATTACGCAGTTCACCACACAGGGGCAAAGAACTCACCATGCACCACTAATGAAGTACGAAAAGATCACAGACGTGTTCGCAACTGCATCGTTATATAGTTGCGAACTGAGCATTGTTATAAGACACTTGACGGCTTCGACATGTATTGCCATTGTATTCTCACTGAACAATCATGATGTAAGCTCATACAAAACACATTTCAACAAGTTTGAAATAAAGGCCATTCAAACAAGGATAGGTTTCAAAAGGGAAGAGAGTGAAAACTGCGGCGGGATTCTCCCGGAAAAGTAGATGAAAGGCAATGTTTATTCGGGAGGTTTCTTTCTGGGAACCTGTTATGGTCACTGAGCTAGTCAGCTCCTTACACCATAATCACTGACTGTCGAATGCAAATATTTCGTCCTGCGACCGTCCTTGGCGCATTTGGTAAAGATGAATGTAAAAACTACTCAGAGGAAAGGGCCAGTCACCAAGTCTTATGCACCGGGACTAAATGAGCGTAGATCTGCGAAATGGCCAGCTTTGGTTGCTTTTAGCTGAGAACCTCATAGTCGCAGAAATGTTCAATAAAAGGAAGGGGAGGCAGGACCTAGAGCCGACAATCCTGCCCTGATCCCCCTTCTAGGCGTGTATGTCAGACCACCGAGGTGCTCATTCATTCTGCCTACCCTCGACTAAAACAACCAAAACTCTTGAGAAGCTTTAGAATTGATAACTGTTTCAGCGCAACACATGTTAAGAAGCAAGATAATCAAGAAGTGCAAGAAGTGACCGAACTAAGCACTCACCTAACAGGTAAATCCGCCAGAATATCTATCAAAATGTCAATCAGTTTCTCCGCCGTATTAGAATATTGAGAATCGGAATCCGCCTCGTTTTCCGCTTCAACTAAAAAATTTGTTTGCTGTTCGCTACGAAATGGGAGGAAACGAAGAATTAACTCACGCTCTCCATCAGAAGAACCGGCCGATGATGATGTCGCAGATGCCGAAGTGGCAAAAACTTTGACGAACTCCGCTTCAGTCATTCGTTGTGTGAGGAACTTACAAATGTACCGCAAAATAATCAAAGCATTCGACGTCTGCCACAAGAATATTTTACTGAAAAGCATACCAGTACAGATCACTACATAGATTTTCTTTTATTATGACAGCATCTGTTTGATGCCGCAATTCAAGCGCTGAAAGTTGTGAGAAATAGAGTGGTAGGTCGCCCTGATCGTATAAATGATACGCCTTCGTCTGGAAAGTAAGGGGTGGCGGTACAGGTCCCGTCTCAACTTCTGCTCATAACTCAGCGCTCTTGTCACAGATGTTATAGAATTTTAACCTGAAGGCATCTTCAGTGATGCGATGTAAACGTGAATGGAATCGGTGTTCAAGAATAGACCGTGACGTTAACTCATAAAGCAGAGAAAAAGGAAGAACAGTTCTGTAAGCGCCTCTCAGGGGGCCAGGTTCGCCGCGATGCCAGCCTGTTCTCCACGAAGTGTGGAGAGCTGACAAGCAGCCATGTTCGCCGAGAAAAAACAGCCTCAAAACTCCCCCACGTCTGCAGCGAACAAGATTGTTCGCCCTCTGAGACGTAATAAAGCAATCAGCTTCATAGAGCTGAATGGATTGCGTACTGTGAAGGGCTCTAGGAATCTGGAGCAGTGAGACATCTTCATCGAGTAAAACGTATGTTAAGGGGTAGGGAATTCCTCTCTCGTAAACTTCCCAAACGAGGTGGAAAGAAAGTGAAAGAACGGGACTGCTTGAGAAACCTTGGTGACGCTCAGCAACAAGAACATGGCACACATGTAGTATGAAGCAAGTCAGCGAAAAAGAAAATATCGGGGAACTGAAGTGTCCAAATCAGCTACTGTTCAATGTACCACTGTGGTTCGCAAACCATTGCGAAGTAAATACTCGTGACCCCGGTTTGCTCGATAACGCGAAATAGCTCACCTGGTGGGGGATATTTTATGAAAGGAGAAAGTCCATGGGCACCTGTTACTGAAGTGAGGGCCATGGCTGAAAATGCAGTGGATCGGAAAAAGTGGCGACGTCTAACAAGAACAGTGGATCCTGCGACGGCGCGGGGCTAACGCTAGGGAGAACAAGGAAAAGGAGTTGATCGAGACCTGTTAGTAAGGCCCCCACCTTCGCTGCCGTGAAGCGTGGCAGGTGAAACGGGTTGTCTAGCTTGTACAGCTAGAACAGAAAATGTGAGCCAATATAATCTCAGAGAGTGTTCATCTGGTAGTAATGCCAAATGTGACATCGAAAATGAATTCCCACTTGACACTAAGTACAAAGCTTCAGCACTAACAGTAAACTGTAAACTGAATAGAAACTGACTTTTCATACTGTTCCGAAGTCTTCAGTTCAGTTGACCGTCGTAGAAATACTCTTATAAATGAAGCGAAGTTCCCACTTGTTTGCGTATTGTACATCAACGACTGCAGAAAATCATTTAATGATTCGTCGAATGCACGTGCTTGAACTCTGGAAACGCCGTCATGAAGAACATAATCACTGTATACAAAACAAAACGAAATGCTGCGTTTACTTTCTAGTTGTTATTCTAATGCAGTTAAATCATGAGGATAATGCTAACGTTTCAACGTAAAGATCGTTCTCCTAGGGTCACATTCCGAAAAGATGAATAGTCAAAAGAATCTCAGCCGTAAAAAATCATATGAATACTCTATAGAGTAATCCGATTTTAAGTAACATAGAATGGAGGACCTCGCAGCTACCTATTATAAGGGTGCAGCTTAGGAATCAAAGTGTTAATGAAGAATGAAATGCATTTGCCTACTTACACTCGATTCAGATCTTTATAGTCCAAGTGCGGTGGTAATTTACACATTGAACGCCGCGGCGTTTTTGCGGCGACTCCCGTTTTTACTTCCTGCGTCTCCGCGCGCGTGAATTGCGTGCAATACACAAACGCGCGAAACGGGAGTCTTTGTGCCGCATGCCCCTTTACACGCTCATTCTGGTTACTTTTGCGCTCATTTCTACATTGTTCATGATGACTTCTTTTAGCTGCATAGATGGATCTGGACAACGTGTAAAG